AAACTGGCTCATTTCAGAAATAATGAATAAGAAGAAAATATATAAAGAGAAAAAGTTTCAATCAGTAAATAGAAGCTGTTTTTAAGTAATATATAATAAATAATATATAGTTATATCCTGAAAAATGATAATAAAAACTAAGCATAAACAATGAACTCATCTTTTAAATCTTTATTTAACCAACATCTGCTTCTTTCTACCCACTCCTGACATTGCCCTTTATCATTTTTATTAATATAATCTGAATATTTAGCTTTAGTAATGTTAAAATATTATTTTGAACATGTGGTATTTTCTTTTAAAAATAATTTTGACATTCATGTTGTACATTATAGTTATAATTACAATAATTTTTGGACCACTGTTTAAATGAAATAAAATGTTTAACTGAAAAGAATGCTCATCACCAGTGTGGTTACCCTGAGATTTCCTCATCCTTCAATTCTTAATTCTGATTCTTTTTTCAGTTTTCATGTATTATTTTTCAATATTTTGGGGGGGTATAATTATTTGAATAGGCTTTCTTTCATGTCTCTGGTATATTTCTTAATTTTGTGTAAAGCAGTATGGTGCACACTGTCAGTAGTTTCATAGCACACAGGCATTTTACTGTAATGAAAAGTCCTTGGGAGGTGCCAGTGATACACAGGTTATGTGAATTACAGGCACAGGTAAAGGTAAATGCCCTTTCACTCAATTAACTTGACAGATATTTTAAAAAATACTTTGTTTTTGAATTTTTGGGCTTTGAGTGATACTTAATAGCTAAGTGAATAAATAATTGCATAACAAATGTGTAACAATTATAAACAGAAAAATTAGAAGACAGAGAATCAGGTGACAGTCCCTAAAAGGTAATACAAAAATGGAAATGTAGACCTTGAACCATTTCTAGTGAGTCTTTCCATAGTCTTTGATTTAAAACTTAATTTATCCTATCAAAAACTTATGAGAAATAAGAATATAGTGATAACTGAAGAAAGTAAATAGATTTATCTGCCTCATATGACCATTGACCACACATCTGGAGAAATTATTTGCATAGATTTTCTAAGTTATGTGAGCTGATGTGACTTTTAGTTAGAACATTTTATCTTTGGAGATAACACTAAAGACAAAACTCCTTTATGACTAAATTTTTCTGCTGCACTGGGTCTCCTGGGAAATAAATATTGATATCATCTTTCTAATTAAAATTTTCAGAAAGTCTTACCTAGTAATCCAATTAATGTTGCCAGTATTACAGTTCAGTAAGGTATTTTAGGCCCTCGAGGACGTTCCAGATGACCCAATATCTTAGTCAGTGTTCTATACTAAACAAATTAATTAATTGCTACTTTCTTCTTTGCAAATACAACCATGGACAAAAGACAAAAAGTTAAGCTTTTAAGTATAGATGGAGAAACAGAATTGCTGAGAACATTTTTGCCCAATGACTTCAGTAAATTTCCAGGAAGACATAAACATAATTATAATGATGTCTTGGGTTTATAATATTGGATTTATAAGATTAAAAATCTTTACATTTTTATGAAGAGCTCAAAAATAGTGTAGACAACATTAGACTGAAAATCAGCTCACATGAAATGCTATAATTGTAGATTTTGGTAAAATTGTAGGTTCTAATCTTTTGGACAACAATGCTAAAATTTTGCTTTTGTACAACCCAAATAAATACTACATCTTAAACATTTTATCAACTTCATCCATTCCTTTAAAGTTCATGTGAGAGAATTATTATGCTCTTTCATTAGAAGAGGTCGGAATAGAAGGCAACAAAAGGTGAAGAATATGTCAGACTCTATAAAAAAAAAGGGACTGAGAAGGTAATGTTTTCTTAGCATAAGGTGCCAATACTCAAGTGAAGATAGCATTTTGGAGCCAACCAAGGAAACAGCCAGCAAATGCAGTTTGAATACCTTCTTTCTTTCCTAGAGGTGTAAAAGGATGCCATGTGGTCGCCTCCAGCTTTGGACGAGCTCCAGAGAAATATCTCACCAAGGTTTCATGGCAGATAGGAGGCCAAATGCATCCTGGATGATATTCTTGTGGCATGTAAAGAGGTGTTAAAGAGCCAAAGAACAGTCATTTTCAGATTTGTCTGAGCCCAGTTAACAACAACAACAACAACAACAACAACAACACAAAAACCCACAAAGATAAAAAGTCAAACCTCACAGAGTTCCTGGAAGAGTTTTAGTATTTTAGTATATCCAACCTATACTCACATTCTTACATTTCCTAACTGAGGTAAGGCTGTGTTATTCTAGCCCCTCATGACTGGTGGGAAGCAACACATCAGAATTAGAATAGATCAGGCAGCTGGAAATGCATCAAGAAAAAAAGTGAAGGAACAAAGTTGTTTGGCAAAGATCTGGCTTCTCACACACACAATGATGTATTGGAAATCTTGAGAAGATCTTGTAGGATTTTAAATATGTGTAAGATAGAAATTCTTAGAAAATGCCCTACTGAGAAAAGAGGGTGCATATCAAAGGTTTACTGGCACTGACCATCCACACTCTTCTACTGCAGTCCTTAGACAGCTGTTCAAAATGAAAAAAAACAAAACAAAACAAAAACTGGGGAGAGAAAAAGGAGAAAATCATTTGGAAAGCAAAAGCGCCTCCAAACAGTTCCAATCTTAAAGTGTTATGATGTCAAAATCTGAGGCACATTATCAGGAGATGAAAGTTCAAAGAGGCCTCAGCTCTGTGTTGGATAAACAGGAACATATGCCCAGCCTCAGAAATATTTCAAATGTGTTGTGAAACTTCACTCAGTTAGGAAAGAAATGTTAGAGTTCAACTGTGAAAAATTCAATTGCATATTTGAAAAAAGCAGGTGCTGGGAAAGACCACAAACTTTCTAAGTGTGTCAGCACCATTCACCATAGTAGCAAACAGAAGTGAAAAGGCTTAGAAAGGTTTTCTGAGCAATACATCAAATGAACCCTAGTAGCATATATGTGTCACTGTAGAAATGTATTTCTCTGAAAGAAAAATAAATGTCAAAAAGAAGGAAGATGAGATACTGAAAATATTTCATAGTCAACCTTTGTGGGAAATTTATAAAAATCAAGGGAAATTTGGGCAGAAGTCACTACATACCAGAAGTGAGAAATCTCTGCTAAGAAAGGGTAATTGAAAAAAAAAAACTACTGTATTTTACTCATAAAATCTAAGCCTTAAGTTAGTTCATCAAAATAGTTCTAATCCAAAGAAATTTTACTTGCTAATTTATGGGTTATGATGGCAGAAGAACTTATGTATAGTTTATTGAAAATCTTTTCTTAAACCCATGAAAGAGATTTTTTTATAGTTATTTATTCTTCTTCTAAGTGGCTTGTATTTCTCTCTTTTGTATCCCCTCCACTGAGTAGTTATTCCATGAATAGTGAGGGAGAGTCAATAGATGTTGACTGATTGGCTGAAGAGCCCAGCACCAAGACAAAGTGGCGTTGGCAGAGTAGCAGGGTTGAAAGAAGCATTTTAGAGTCACCCTTCTATTGGAATCTGCATTGTTCTATCAACCATACTCTCCATTAGATGTCCTCCTGGAAATTCTGGATTTCCATTAAATATTTTGGAAGAAACATTTTAAAATTATAGTAAAAAGGCAAACATTCATAAACCTTGTGATGCACTGTTTACTTTCCAGTACTAACAAATGTTTCTATGTTGTCACTTTGCTTCAGATTTTAAAAATAGAAGATTTCAGATAAATTTGAAAGAATATTTCTGTCTTGTGTGTACTTCTAGGTCATTTTATATATACATCTATGGATAAATAATATATAATATCAATTTGTATGTTCTTTAATTATATATTAAAATTACAGCATAATTGCATATATTCATAAATGTAATTATGCTGTACATATTCTGCCACTTGCTTTTTATCACTCAACATTGTATTTTAGATTGTTCATATAAATATATATGTAACTAATTTGTTTACTTTAACTTCTATGTAGTATTTCATTATGTAACTGAATATAACCATAATTTATTTCCCCATTCCCTGTCAGATATTTCCAATTTTTATTACTATATACAATACTGCATGAATATCCTTATACATATCTCTGTACATATGTAAGAACTCTCACTGGGTGCCTACACTTCCAACTGAAATTGTTTGGTTGTAGGATATGAGTACTTTCCTCTTTACTACATAGTAACAATTTGTTCTCTCAAGGTATATGAATTTACCTTCCTTCCAGCAATGTTTGACAGTTTCTTTCTCTATACGCTCACCAACATTTTATATTGTTAGACTGTTCACCAATCTGAAGAGTATAAAATAAAATCTTGCTACTTTAATTTAAATTTCCTTAATGATTACTAAGCTGGAAGATCTTTTCATAATTTTTGGCCATTTGGGTTTTCTTTTTTCTTTTTTTCCTTTTATTGTTGTTCAGGTAAACTGTCTTTTCATATACTTTACCCAATTTTCTTTTGTGATGTTTGTCTTTTTGTCAAACTTACTTGTACAAGACTTGTATATATTCTGAATACTACTATTGCGTCTCATATATATTTGTGGATATCTTGTCTCTATATGATGTCTATCTTACGACTTTGTTGTGACTTGTCAGACATTTTTAATACTAATGTATCAATTTTTTCTTAATAAATTATGTTTTTTTATTTTATCTAAAATTATGTACTGCAATTGTATACAAACATACATAAAGCATATAAAATATGTATATTTATATTCACCCAACTATCACCCACATATTCACCACTTTCACTAACATTCTGCAGAAGTGTAACTCACCAAACCCATTGAGTTATCTTATTAAAAATTGATGCTATTTACCTGGGTCTACCCTGTTGCTTAGCAATTGTTTTTCATCTCAAGTTGAGCGCCAGCCCTATTAGTGAGGTAACACAGGCTTTAACGTCACAGAGGCCACGCTCCTCGCACGGGACCCTGCTCCTCGCACGGGACCCTGCTCCTCGCCAGGTGCGCACACGCCTCCCGCGCCTGCCATGGCGACCATTCAGCAACTGGTAGGAAGATGGCGCTTAGTGGAGAGCAAAGGCTTCGATGAGTACATGAAGGAACTGGATGTGGGAATGGCTCTGCGGAAAATGGGCGACGTGGCCAAACCAGAGTGTATCATCACTTTTGATGGCAAAATCCTCACCTTAAAACTTGAGAGCACATTCAAAACAGCACAGTTCTCATGTAACCTGGGAGAGGAGTTTGAAGAAACTACAGCTGATGGCAGAAAAACTCAGACCGTCTGCAACTTTGTAAATGGCGCATTGATTCAACATCAGCAGTGGGATGGGAAGGAAAGCACAATCACGAGAAGACTGGAAGGTGGGAAAATGGTGGTGGAATGCGTCATGAACAGTGTCACCTGTACTCGGATCTATGAAAAAGTTGAGTAAAAATTCCGTATTCTTCTGGACAGGAATTAGCTGTGAGGATAAACAAGCTCAGTTCAATGAATAAGTCTCTCCATGCTTCCTTCTTTTTTCAGTACTGTTCTGTTATCTTCCTCACAAACATTTTACATGCTACTATTTCCAAGTGTTGGTTTAATTAGGACCAATTTTTTGGTTAGTAAATAATTGTGTATTTAAAAAAAATCACAGAACCTAGTAACAAGTCACTGCTCTACTAATTACTAAGTATATGACCTTAACCTCTCCATGTCTCAGTTTCCTTATAAAAACCATGGGTTTTATCATAGTAATTGTCACACAGATTCCTTTATCTGTCTTGATCTTTTCATGTATAAAAAAAGTGAGAATAATGGCACTCTTCTAAGCCCTTCACAACGAACTCATTTGATCCTTACAACAACATAATAAAGGAGGCACAGTTATCTCCATTTTACAGATGAAGAAATTGATGAACCAAGAGGATAACTAACTGGGTCAAGGCCACATGGTTAAGGCATAGCAGAGGCAGGATTTACACCTCTAGTTCCCATGCTGTACAACACTTTAATGTACTGCCCCCCAATAATTTCATCCTCATACCTAAATGAAAGAATTAATGTAAAACACTTAGCCTCCTGCTTGGTCAATAGATATAGGTGAAGGGTTATTGATTGTTTTTCCTAATTTTTCCATAAAAGCTAGTCTAAATTTTTCACATTACTCCAAATTTGAATATGTTCATGCAGATGACCTTACATTAATAAGCTATCCAATATTTTCTGTAGAACACTGGAGCCATGGTGTCTACCGATTGTCTATTAAAATTCCCATATAATGAGAATCTCATTATCTGCAAACTTTGCCTTCATTTTTTCCTCTTCCTTCCCTTTCGTCTTTCTCCTCCTCCTTCAAATCACCTTTGAGAAACTTCATGTCTTAAACTTTCAAAGTGAAGACCCTCAAACAGATACACTTTCATTTTTTTCTTCTGATTTACATGTAAGTGCCTAGTATAATACATGGAATGTAGGAAGTGTTCAGTGAATGCCAGATTTTATTCTTGAGATTTTTGTTTGCCAATGTGCACCAGGATAATTACTCTTGATAGACATATTTCTGTAGCAGCAGGAGTGGGAGATGGGTCTAAGGAACAATAGTATGTTAAAGGAAGAGAGTTCATCTGTCCTTTCTTCCCAACAGAGAATTTTACCTCCCTTCCCAAATTAAGTCCTCTGCTCATGTCAATGATCTTATCCACTCTGCTTCTTCCCATACCTTAACTCCTCTTACAAGTCCTCAGTCTTTCATCCTATTTTATTCTCTATAACTCTATGTTATTGACTCTAAGATAGTCTCACTTATAAAGAAAAAAATGTTGCCATTAAACTAGGATAGAACACTTTGTCACTCATAAAGATACAGATTTTCATCATATGTCACTCTTAAGCCTACATAAAAAGGACAATATAAGCTAATAAATTGAATAAGATATTCCTAAAACTGCATTCACAGTCTGATTCCTCACATATTCACGATCATTGATCTTATTTTCCTTTGGATTCACTTACAATTCCCCACATGCCTAGAATTGTTGATGCTGTTTTTGATGTTGATGTTGACATATAATACAGTACTATACTCCATGCTATCTAAAGTGTGATATACATCATTTCCCAAGAGTGCTCCCCTGTTGTCTTCAAGACGTTCCTCCAAGTGCTTCATCCACCTTCTAAGCTTTGACATGCACGTGCTGACTAAAAATCATGACTGCTGCCTAGCTAATAGCAACTACCAAATTGTATCTCAATTTCAGAAACAAGAAAATGTAAACCAAGCAAAGTATGCCACAGAAACAATAAAATATAGATCCTTCTCCTTGGCTCATAAACATCGTGAAGTTATCTCATAAAACTAATGAGAGGTAGGGAAATAGTGAAAAAAACAGACGGAACAAAACCTTTTCTCTCTTGCTTTTCAAACCAACAATGTGCTTATTATTAATAATATTTATTTAGACTCATTTATCAAAGATTCTGATCCAGTATGTTTACTTTGTTCTTTGTGCTCCATATGACTTTTCTGTATATCATATACTTTTTGAAAATTTAACTAGACGTGAACTTTTTTCAAATGATAATTATTTCTATGATCTTATCAAGTTATAATATTTATAATATACTTTATAATAATATGTTTTATATATTTTATATTTCAGTATATGTTAATTCAGACAACTGATTTACAGACCTCCTCAAAATGCTGAATCTGTTTATCCAATCCATTTTTTAAAATTCCAGTAAGATTGGAATGAAAATTACTAATAATTTCCATATATTATTGAAGGAAATACTGCAAAATTGGCAACATTTTATTTGCTCTTGGTAAAGAAATTCTGAACAAAACTTCAGAGACTATAAAATAGCTGCTTTAAAACTTTGACAAATTGAATTTATTTTGAGATATAAGTAGGTTATTTCATACATAATTTTAAAAAGTAATAATGTTTTTATCATGGAAATTTATATGGAAATTTCTTAATTTTTCTCATTTCATAGTTGTGTCATTTTGTTAGCCTACTTCTTGAATTACTGAAATGTTCTTAGTTATTTTCATGAGAACAAGGGAGTATTTTAAAGCACAGATGAAAGAATCAAATAAATAAAATATATGGTGACAGGATATTTGACTTTAGGTAGTAAGTTACACAATGCAATATACAGAATATTTTATATAAAATTTACACTTGAAACCTATGTAATTTTATTAACCAGAGGAAAAGGGATTAGGAGGAAGACAAAAAGGGTAAAGGAGGTCAAATACATGGTGACTCTGAATAGTGAGCAAACGATGCAGTTTACAGATGTTGTATGATAAAGTTATATATCTGAAACTTATGCAGTGTTATTAACCAATATTACTGCAACAAATTTCACTTAAAAAAGATTTATGATATTAATCTATTAAATAAGTGTCAAGGATATAATATACTAAAAGGAACAAGAGAGATGTCCACTTTCTCCTGTCTTATTCACCATAGTACTGGAAGTCCTAGCCACAGCAATCAGACAAAAAGAAGAAACAAAGGGCATCCAAATTGGAAAGGAGGAAATGAACCTGTCCTTATTGCAGATGACATGATACTGTACATAGAAAACCTCAAAGATTACAACAAGAAACTACTAAAACTGATCAATGAATTCAGCAAAAAAGCAGGATGCAAAATTAATATTCAGAAATCAGTTGCATGTTTATATGCCAATAACAAACTAGCAGAAAAGAAAATTAAGAAAATAATCCCATTAAATAATTAGTATTTTCAGAAATCAAGATGGCAGAGGAGTGAATGGAAGCCACACTGACCTCCTCCCAGGACCAATATGGAATTACAACTGGACTGTGGAGAAATCATCTGGAACAAACAACTGAACAACAGTGAGAGAGGAGCGTTATAACTTGGACAGAAGAATCAGCATTAGCATGACCTAACTGGTAAGGAGTGCAGTAGAGACTCAAGAAGGTGAGGGGGCCACCATGGGCAGCAGCACAAGATGGATATTGAAATGGCCAGTTGGACCCCCCTAAGAAGAGTGGGGTCTAAACCATAAGCAGGGATCTCCAGCCTATAGCACCAGAGCCCAAAAAGTACACAGATAACACCAGATGTGAAAAGCGGCAAGGTTGCTCTCTGCCAGAGATGGGAAGCTGTAGATGCAAAGAGCCTTTTAAATGGCAAATGCATAAATTTTTATTTGTAGCCACTTACCCTAGTCTCTGGCAAAGGCAGGGGCAGAGTGGGTTAGAGGCACCTGAGGAGAGACTGGAGAAGGGGGACTTTGGGGAGAGAAGAGAGAGAATAGAGGGTGGGATCCCATTGCTGACTCATCTGTGATACAGCAGCAGCCATCTGGCTCAGGAAGACCACTCCCCTGAGGCAGCAGCCTGAGAGGACCCAATAATACTGCCCCAGGAGGGACTCTGCTCTGCCCAGTGGTGTCAAAACCTGAAAGCTGAGTGAAGAGTGACTAGATTAGCAGCTGAAGGAGAGAGCCACAGACAATAGATTCCTGGAAGTCTCGAACAGACTGCCTAAGGTCAGACAGGGTCAACATCTGACATCATCAGAGGCAGATCCTGAGAGAAAAAACAGCAGTCTCCTGCCATAGAGCTTCACACCACACGGTCAGGAAATCAAGATGGATCAACTGAAAAAGCAGAAGCACAAAAGAAGAGTCTCACAAGTAATGGGAAGACAAGGAAACACCCCCCAATCGAAGGAAAAGGAACAATCCCCAGAAAGAGAACCAAGTGAAATAGAGGCAAGGAAGCTATCAGATACTGAGTTCAAAACAGTGGTTCTAAGGAAGCTCAATGAGCTCAGTGAGCTCAGAGAGAATTACAAAAAACTGCAGGGAAACTACAAGGAACGCACTGCAAACTATGTCAGCATGAAAAAGGACCTAGAAAGTATCAATAAGAGACGAGAGGAAATGAAGAATACAACTTCTGAATTGAAGAACACAGTAGAAGGAATCCAAAGCAGGCTAGATGAAGCAGAGGAGCGAATCAGCGAGCTGCAGGATAAGGTAGAAAAAAAGCTCCCAGAAAGAGCGAGACACTGAAAAAAAGACTCAGAAAGAATGAAGAGGCTTTAAGGGAAATGCAGGACAACCTGAAACGTAATAATATGCGTCTAGTAGGGATACCAGAAGGAGAAGAGGAGGAAGGGATAGAGAACCTGTAGGAAAAAGTAATGATGGAAAACTTCCCTAATCTGAGCAGAGAAATGTCACACAAGTCCAGGGAGCACAGAGAGTCCCATTCAAGAGGAACCCAAGGAGGGCCACTCCAAGACACATCATCATTAAAATGGCAAATATCAAGGACAAAGAGAGAAGCCCAAAGGCAGCAAAGGAGAAAGAGGTAGTAACATATAAGGGAGCCCCAGTACGACTGGCAGCTGACTTCTCAACAGAAACACTGCAAGCTGGAAGGGACTGGCAAGA